AAAAAAACAATTCCAAAATAGGTATGTAAAAACACAAAATGAAGCCGCAAGCTCTTGGCTGTGGGTCTATAAAATTGTATTTTGGTTTTACATATATCCTTACATGTATGTATGTGTATACATACATATATTCATACGTATGTGTGCATGTATGTATATAGATACACGTAATTTTGCAATGGGATCTGTTTTTTATTTCCACGCTTTTGTTTTTATTTTTTTTTACATTTTGTTGCTCTTGCGCTATGAACTGTGACTGGTTTTTGGGTTACTCAGCGACTCGTAATGATTTATTTTCTTTTGCCTCTGGGTCGTTTCCTACTTTTTGGCACGCGTGCCTACTAAAGCATAGATAAAAATTAATTTAATATACATATGTATATATTTTTATTTTCGCTGCAAATAATTTTTGCGAGTATTTTCGTTACGGAAGATAGAAATTTTCACGTAGATAATTTAAAAATATAATTATTAAATAGTAAGAAAGTTATGAAAAAGTCTTAAAAAAACGAGGAAAATAACAAAAAATTGCGCTTTTAAAGTTGATTATTTCTTAGGCAACATTTTTTAACATTTTTTATTGTTAGTAGGTAACATTTATAGCCAAAACGTTGGCAAACAAAAGGAGTAATCAAAGAGAATACTACGGCCATTTATTTGGAGAATTACGAAAAAATTAAAAAAGAAGAGAAAAATATTCTAAAATTGCGCTTTAAAAGCTGATTAATCCTTAGAAAAACTTTGCAATTTATTATAACTGTTATTATTTATAGCCACACCTTCGGCAAACAAAATGAGCCATCGCAGAGAAAATCAGGCTTTTTGTTAAAATCTTAAATAAGTATTAATAATATTTTTTTGTTAAGATAAAATTCATAATGACACTGTTTTTAACATAATTTTAAGTGAAAAATTAAGGACGGATTCACATTAACATTACCAAAAAAAGGTGTCCGAACACGAACGATGAAACCACCTAAAGTTTTTTCTAATTCTCTAAGGTCAACCTTGTTTTTCTTCGAAACAAAGTAAAGCGTTGCATACTTTTCTGAGTAAATTTGGTGTTTGGCAAGGAAATACAGCTTATTTTCGCGAGCAATCAATAGCATCGCGAATGTTTGCCTAATTTTCGGCACTGTCAATTTTCCAAAATACTAATTACACTTTTGCAGTGTTACTTATAAACATTTTTCACTTGTTTTTTTTTTCATTTCAGCAGCTGCATAGCAACTAAAAGCAGTATGGGTAACCAGCAACAGCAACAATAATCTACAGCTACTCATCGGTGGTGGCCTGTAAACAGCCAAAAATTGCGGTAATAACACTCAGTGTAATTAAAAAAACCAACCAAAGGCGTTGCTAAGACGAGGTTGGCAGACAAAAGTGCGAGAGGCAAAAGAGAGCGCATCAGATAGAGCATGAAATAGCCCAAAAGCATTAGCATTGGCTGTGTGGTTGTGGTAGAATTTTAGGCACAGCGGTATAGCAACTTGTAAGCCACAAACGGTAATTTCGAAAAAAGGGAAAAACCAAAAAAGGCTGCAAAATAATTATGATGGCGAATTGAAAGCGTCGAAAGAAAAAAAAAAAATAAATAAAATTGGCTCAACATTTTCAAATTAGCTTATGTACTACAAATTTGTAACTACTGCAACTAAATAGAATTTTTAGAATGCATTAGATATGTAGAGAACGCGCTTGATGAGCCAAGCAACAAATGTCGACTACTGGGTATTTTAATATTTGCAGGCGTTCGAAATTGGCACTGCAAAATGTATTTGTGGCAACAGACCTCAAGCCGCAGTGGTAGTTAGTAAATGAGCAGCCTAAAAGTAGGCAACACAAAGGCGCAATTAAACGAATGAAAGCCAAACGAAGTGAACTGTGAGTAAGGGAAACAGCCCTTGGAAGAGCGAGAAAAGTTTTTGATAGCAAAATAAATGGGCAAACATTAGTGACAGTTGATAAAACTAAATAGTGGCGGTGGGCAACAACCGAAAAAAAATAAAATAAAACAGAAAAGCTAATTTAGCTACACAAACGGCAAAGCAAGACAGTATAAATGGCAAAAAGTTTCCTCTGTAGCTAAAAGTCGAAAAAAAATATATAGAAGTAAGCAGAAAAAGCGCCCAATAACGGAGCGAATCAATTAAAAAACACAATAACTGTATTGTAAATAACAACAAAAGCTGTTAAATTTTAAAGAAAAGAACGGCATACAAAACCAGCAACAATAATATAAAATAATTGCTCAACTAAGTTCGGTGCTAGCGTTGGCTGTGACGTCGACGTTTTGCGGACGAGCGACAACCGGGTTCATTGCGCTACTAGGCCAAACTGGAACAAGCGCCTTACAACAGCATATAACAGCAACAACTGAAATGATGCCTATTTTGTATGGCTGTCAGTTGGCATTGCATTGCTCATCTGTCTCGTAAGCGAATGAGCGCACAACGACAATTTCAACAAACTAAAAAACAAAACGAATAAGCCAACAAATTAAAAATATAGAGAGCAGTGTGAGTAATGAGTAAAATAAAAATAAATAAATTGGAAAATAAAAGGATAACGACACTAACGGAATTGTTATAATTGTTTCTAAAAAATTTTCTAGTTATAGTTGTGCGAAAGTGTAGTTAATTCAAATTAGCAAAAAATTATAGTCTAGTATTTAAAGAACAAATCTGAATAAAAATGCGCAATACACTGAATTAATCGAAAATGCGCGTAAATAATTGAAAAGCGCCAAACGAGCGTAATACGCTATTTAACTAAGCGCACCGGCTACACAAGCACACACACATACATTTGAAACGTACTAAAAATGCACGCATACATTTAGAATAACTGAATTTCGATTTCGGTGTATGGCTAAAGCAAAGCCTAAAAAATTAAGTAAACAAATAAGTAAATTAAAATAAATAAATACATTTAAGCCGGTTTAAGTTTTTACTTAAAACAAGCGAAAAAAACACTATTTTAAAATATGCGCAAACTCCAGCTCGAAAATATGTAGCAAAAGTAATCCTTTCAATTGCATTTAAATCTCACTACAACTAACACTAATGGAAAGTACTCACTTATGCATATGTACTAGCTCTAAAAAGATCCAACTAACGAGTTTCCTAAAAAAAATGCGCGCCTAAAAGCAGACCTAAAAAGTGCGCCACAGCAACAAAACACAAACGCTGCCATTCAAAATTAACGCAACACTGCAACGCCAACGCGACGGTGGAGGAGGAGGTGGGCATACACTAACTACCGCCCACATCCATGCCCACGCCACCGCCACAAACCCGGCGGCGCCACAACCCCCAACGCCAGCAACAGCAATCGAAACAGTAGCGCTAACACCAAAATTAGCAGCAGCAGCAGCAGTCGCCGTCGCCACTGCAATCACTGCAAACACATGTGCTGTCGAGCAACAACAAAACCAACAAGAACACCAACATCCAACTCAACGACATTTGGCGTTTTTAGCGCGCAGTAGCAGCAGAGTTGCTGCTGCCGCTGCCACAGTCGCCGCCGCCATTTTCGCTGCTGCCAGCTTAGCGTGCGCTGGCATTTTGGCGGGCTCTACTCCAACGCCCACCACAAATAACGCCACCGCTCGCGCAGCAGCCGCCGCCGCCGCTGTCGACGCCTCAGCTTCAGCTTCAGCTTCTAATTCGGCTACAGCTACCTCGGATGCCAGCACAGCAGAACGCGTCAATGTGAGTGCGGCAACTGCAGCGAATTCGATAAATACGAGTTGTAGTAGTAGTAGTAGTAGTAGTAGTAAAAGTAGGAGTGGTAGTGGTGGTAGCAGTAGCAGCAGCAGCCGCGGCGGCGTATACGTAACATCCTCACAGCAGTGCGAAGTTGCTGCTGATTTTTATGCCATACAGCGGACAGGTGTAAAACATAAAACAAATCTTCATACTTCCTCTGCATCATGTGGCAAGCGAAACGGTGGTCGAACTCGTAGTAGAAAAAAGTGTCTCGCCCGCGGTCGCATTAGCTTTTGTACAGCTTACGGTAGTAGTGGTGGTAGTGTTGGTGGCAGTAACAGTGTTTGTGAGCGTGTCAGCAATTTGAGTGGTGAAGGTGGCATTAACGTAGACTTCGACTGGCAACCGGAGCGTTACGAGCGCAATATTGACGCAAGGCTGCGAGTTGTGGGCGATGCAACGTCTTGCGGAACAAGTGTAAGTGTGATTATCTATATTATATTTAGAAATAAGATGTGAACACTTATATATTACAATAATAAAATGTTTAGTATATTTTTTACATATAAATATACATCAGATCGTCGCAGAAAAAAAGTTTGCCGTACACCCCCGTGTCTTAAGAATTTTTCTAACTATATCTTCTTTCTACTACCCTAATGTCTGTAAATTAAAGCCCGCCCAAAATCATTCAACTCTCACTAATGGCGTTTTCTTTTCTCGAAAAAAATTTCACCTTCTGATATGGCAACATTCTCGGAGTGCAATATTTTAAAGAAAGAGCACGCAATGTGCATATGAAGATGCTGAGAAAAGAACACGAAAACTTGACAGCCTACGCCAGGGCCAAAATAAATGTAACATTATTTATAGTCGGATCTTATAGTGTTATCTAGACATCTATGTTTTTGTCTCAAGGAGAAAATTTTTGTGTTCCAAAGTTTATTTACCCCAGTACAAGTGTACTTACCCGCCAGATCTCAGTTCTTAAGACCCTAACGTACCACCCAAATATAAGTTAATTAAAATTCTCCAAAAATCATTAAAGTTATTCTAATGAAACTTTTTTAGAACTACATATTAAAAAAAAGACATTCCGACTCTAGGTGTCCCCGAAAAAATTGAAAAGCGACCAAAAAACTTTTTTTGAATTTGCCCAGCAAAAACACTTTAGACAGAGGGCTGTATGGCGAACTTTCTTATGTTTGCTTGTAATGTGGTACGGTGGAATGTATGTATGTATGCATGTAATATATAATTAAAATATTTGGTTTCGTGTTTAAAGGCTTTGTAGGTACCAGAAATATAAAAGTTGGAGCTCGGTTGCGGTGATAATGCCCAGAGTGGTGTACACTTGAACATTATAGAATCTCTGCTTTGTCATACCAAGTAAATTTGAACGGGAAGCGCTATTCAATTGATGAAATGCCGCGAGATAGTCACGAAGGTTTTGGCTTCTACCAATCCCCGAGCGTTACTCAGGGTTGATTATAAAGTGCAAACCAAGATAATTTAATCTAAACTTAACACTTTTCTTTCTTTTCTCAGCTACCTGGAACTTACCAGAACTCCCTGCAAGAGCAAGAGCTGTAACTTTTCAAACATTAATAGCTCCTTAGAAAAACCTTGGCATGTGAAACTGGCTTAGTTTTCGACCAACGTTTGCTGAGCTTATCTGAGGATCATCTGTTCAAGAATGTACCGCAAGTAGTAAATGACGTTCCGTTCTACCCCTTGTCGATCGTATCGTTTCAAGGGTGGCATTTTTTTTTGCCAAACGTAGTCATTTTCTCTCAAATTTACGAGCACCGTGTACGAGTTCAGTGCTCCGATTGTAACTAGGCTATCAGAGTAGATGATTATCTGCCATATTGACTTCACTTTAGTCTGAGTGCAGCCTGTGGTACGCAATATAGCTACGGTCCTGGCTGAAGATGCGCCCCGTTCAATCCTTCCATCAAGCTTCGTGCCAACACCACCTTGTACTACCCATTCATCTCTTGAGGGAGTGTGTGCAGAGACAGAATATGTTAAGTGTTCGGTTTATAGGACCTAATTGTAAACCGCGCTGCGGCAGTATTGCCTGAAATCTTTATAGGGCATTTTGTTCTGCAAGCTGTTAGCGGCAGTGGTCCACTTGACTCACGAATAGCTCAAAAGACAGACTTAGTCAAATATAATAGGCTTACCTATGGTGCCATAAAGAAAAGAAAATTCTTTCGGCGGCAGATCCCATCAACAATCGTTATCTCCCCTGCATAAATATAGAGAAATGGATGCCTTCCTCATACTTTTCTCAATGTTAGGTTTTGTGTAAAGCATCAGGCCCAATTACTAGGCACTGTCAGAAACTCTAACCTTCTAGTTAATAAGACCCGTTGGGTCTTTTCATGATAGACGGCGCGGCCACTGTTAGCCGCTCATTTGGCCCCAAGGCTTGGTAACTTTGGGCAAGTTCTTTCACGAGCAGGCTGTCCGAAAATCTACCTTCAACCACAAGAACTAAGCGGTGTGCATAGGCAACATTCGACAGTCCATTTTTTGCAACTCTTCCAATAGGTCACATGATCACTATCTATGCTGCAAGCAGGTGTTGCCTCCCTCAGATGCGATTGCTTCATTCAACAGTCACAGAGAAGACTGATTGGTTTAAACTCCGAGCTAATATTGTAATTACTTACCTCTGGCAATACGTTGCTAAAACCTCCTCGATATAGAGGAAGGCCTCTCCTCGAGGTTCCAAAATGGGTGTAATATTTCTTTGTGTGCCTGGACGGCTTTGTAATTTGTATGAAAAAGATACATAATGGAAGTGGAAGTGCTCATATATGTATAACTATGCATTTAATAAATTTCGAGATATATGTTCACATATCTAAATAAGTACGTAAGTGCAAAGGCTAATACAATCCACGGATATGTATGTATTGTACATTTGTGTGTGTTTGTTCTTTTCATTAGTACATTAATACAACTTGTGCAGTGGATTATGGTCACATAAAAGGTTGAGGTTCAATGAACTCCTACGCTCATGAGGTTTCATCACAATAGAGCAGCCATAGACAAATAAAGAAAGAACTGATATGCCGGTCGAAATATGACTGCTAAATATATATACATTTAAGCAAACTTTTATGCTCTATTGTCATTTATGGACTGCAGCTTCCGGCTGCATTTAGAAATTAAATAGCTCATACTTCTAAATGATGCAATGATAATTGTAGTAAAGAATAAGTAGATAATAACAAAGCGTATTTGAAGGCAGCGGATTTGTGTTGAAAGATGAGGTTTAAATACTTTTCGTATAATCGTAAATTTTTTAATAAACATCTGTAATGAGTAAGAGTTGATATGGGATGCATAACATAAAATTCGAACTTGCCAACCAATTCGATATTGAAATGACATAGAAGCGATGTCAGCGAATATATGGAATCAATAAAGAATTCATAATATACAGTGGTGGATGAAATAATAGAGACTTTTTATTTTGTCCAGTTTTGGCTACATTTATGTTGTCAATTTGATGTTTAATTCAATGTAGTATAAAAGCTTAGCGCATTGTAAGTATAACATGCACCATAGAAATCGACATTTCAAACTTTGTACAAAAATGAGAAAAATTCAAAAAATTTTACCAAAATCCGAACTTTTTATTCAGAAATTTAGATACATTGTATATGTATACTTAATTAAATTTTAGTAGGAGTCTTGACTTTTAATACATTTTTTTAGCTGACGATGTTGTGCATTTTCTTACATCTAAAGTTTGCTCAAAATTTCTTTTTATATGGAAGATAGTGGTCTGGGTCGAAATTTGGCCCTCTTACCAGGGCCATCACAATTAGCAGATTAAAAGTATACCACATCAATGACCTTGAAATAATTTGAAATTCTTTTTGAATTTGATATTAATTTTGATGTAATTACACCTCCAATTTAGTGCCTTAAATGTGTAAGCAGTGGCCTTTCTATGAATTCTTTGTCGCAGTGTCCAAATCACAATTTTTGAAATGCCGTAACTGAAAATGCCGTGCGGAAATTTGGCAGTTGGCAGAAAAAATAGGATTTTCTGTGCTTCTCCGCTTTTGTATTAAATGAACTTATCGCTTTGCTTATTGTGCCACTTCTTTCTTTGCTTTAGAAAAAATTAAATTTTTGTAGACTTATTTATGACGTATGATTATGCAGAAAACTAAGCCTAAAAATATGTTCCACTTAGATTAAGAGACTTAACTATAAGCAAAAAAAATTAATTTGTGTACATTTTGTTTATATGTAGTTATGGGTTTCATATTTTTAGGCTTCGTTTTCTGCAGAAACGTCCGCATTCTACTTATGTTTATTTTTCTACTCTTTTAAACATTGCATTAGTACATTATCTGTTTCAGGATTAGCCTTGTGAATGATAAGCGTACTCAAAATCTTTTTTGAAGTGAAACTTCATAATTGAGTTCGGAGATGTTTGCTTTAAGTATTTAATACCAGGAGCGTTCGTTCGATTTTCAACTGTCAAACTAAGGATTTTATTTTTTTGACCAAAGTTCTTAGCAACCATAAACGCTAAAATTTTAATCAAATTAGCTTCAAGCTGTCAATCTAATGGCGCTTGCGTTTCTACAAAAAATGTTGCCTTTTTATTGCCTGGTTGTTAGTGTTTGTACTTAGAGGGCAATGAGAAGGTTACATTCTTCGATAGAAACGAAAACGCCATAAATAAGTGCGCACAACTGATTAGGAGCTACTTATGAGCTTTGTATGTACACTAATATGTTGATACATACTTACGAGTCCATGCCTATGAACGGAGCTTGAGCGTATCTTGCTAAAAACACATTTACTTAGTAAACAAAATACTTATAACAGTTGCAAAATGACGCGGAGAGTATGTCGTACAAAAGAGTAGGGGTGGTATGTAGCTTTACGTATGTAGTACATACATATGCTTGTACTTACATACGTACATTGGAAATATGCATTCGCAGATGTTTTCTAGCGCTAAGCATAAAAAAACAACAAAACTATGTTGTGTATGACAAGTGAGTAAGGGGAGAAAGTGGGAGAAAGTATGAGTGAAAAGTCATTGGATATGTAAGTGGTGAGTGTGTGTACGTAATTTTATTTGTAGTTAGGAAATTATGACTCGCGGCGACAGCGAAAAAGTTCTCTCACTCGCTATCCTTCTGTTTTTATTTTTTTCTACTCATATTTTCTGCACTGATAGCTGATTTGCTTGACTTTGTTTACATTTTTGCTCGTTCGTACATATGTACTACATACCCAGCAAACACAAACAAAAAATATTTTCCATCGTTTGATTAACCCTTCATTCTCAAGTTGAGTTTCAACATTCCTTACCATTTGAGATTAGTCACTTTCTCAAACCTTAAATGGAGGAATATTGGAGGCATCTATATATATAAAAATGAATTGCTGTTCGTTAGTCTCGCTAAAACTCGAGAACGGCTGGCCCGATTTGGCTAATTTTGATCTTGAATTATTTGTGGAAGTCCAGGGAAGGTTTAGAAGGTGAGTAAATATGATAAAAATGCTAGGAATTTAATAAAAACAACAACTTTGTTTTTCCTTAGAAATAGGGATGGTCGATTATTATTGTACACTGAAAACTCTATGAAAGTGTGAAATCGTGACGTCTTAGCTTTGTTAATTTTTTGGCAATAACAAAAAAAATTTTTGATTTTTTTTAATCGAAAAACCTTCCACACAGGAGGTCCAAAATTGTACTTTTTACATAATTGAAATCGGTTCAGCCGTTTGGTCAGGCATCGCGGTCATACGAAAGGCATTTCATTTTTATATATATAGATATCTCTGGAAATGTTCATGGTAGAGTACTGGAACTTGGTTTGGAGATATAAGAAATCAATAACATACTCATGGAGAAAAATGGGCTCTTTAAAAAGAGGGCATGGCAAAGTACAAACGTACTGCCTTTGCCTTATCTTTGAATGTGTACATAATTCTTCTGTAGGTATGTTTGTGAGTGAAATCCTGAATGGCTGGAGGGATTTCAACAAAGTTATGGGTGTGTATTTGAGTGGGTCTCTGGATAGTTTAGTTTCACAATTGAACACGCCAGTTGGCGCTGGAGTTGAGTTATTACTAAAAATCTTTTTTTTTATGATCCGATTTGGCGAATATTCAAAACGTGTTCTGGACACGGTTAAGACAGTCCAATTGCAAAAAAGAGCTGTGAGATGATGCTGAGGTCGAGTTATTATTAAAATCGACAAGTGAGAAAAGGTGCCGAGAATGTCAGTCTAAACCGACCTGTTGCACCATTGAGTATATCGAACTCTCGTGTGTTACGATTGGCCCAATGGATGTGATTTGCCAATATTATTATGCGCTAAAGCTTCATTCCGACACACCAGGGTTAAGTTGTGCAGTGGCAAATCTCAAATCACCACCTGTCGAAATAACTTATAAGCCAGTTTCATAAAAGCAATTTAATGAAAATTGATTTTTTTAATTGAATTTAATATAGAACCTGACAGAAACATAATTTTTCTCTTAAATTGCTTTCGTGAAACAGGTTTTTAAGGTACTTCATCTCAGTCTATGTATGTATA